GGCATTCATTATGCGGACAAACACGTGACGCCGCATTTGAAACCTATGACATCAGATTAAAAAAAATTATTCAGACCTCAATGCATACACTAAACATAAGTCAATAAAATTTGAGAGAATTAACCTGCGCCTAAAATAACTTGGTCCATACGTAGTATTATCTGAGAAATAATCTTCATACAATCTGCAGTGTCCCGACTGCCTATCACGATTCACAACACGATGTCCCTCTATGGATCCACGATGGCATGCTGGATTGACAATGTCTGATAGTACTATATGCTATGCTGCAGTATATACCTCATCGTCATCATCCGACGATGACGACGAAGAATCCATCAGCTCGTTAACTACATCTTCAAATTCCATTATGAACCTTTGATTAGGAGGGTCCTAGGAATATGCTTGAACACCTAACCAGGATTAAAGAAAGAAGATGTGTGTCGATCTACTGATTTGATAACGTGACCTAAAGAAAAATCATACCAAGGATACACGATGACCTACCTGAACACGTACAGGGTAGCAGCAGCCCGTCGCCACCAGGATCAGCGTCTTGTGCTGGTGACGCACGCGCGATGTCGCCGCCAGGAGCCCAGAACGCGACGATCTTCTATTGATGCGAAGGAGCACAGCCGCCGCCAGGACGTTGCTGCGGACGACTCCAAAGGAATAGATCGTAGAAAAATTCAATTGGTAGGTGGAATAGGTCCATGGTAGTTGGTGACGTGGCAATTTTTTAATATACAAGATGAGAAATAGCAAGTCTATTAGAAAACTCTTCTTTTTTTTAGGACTTCTATATTTTACAAAAGAGCTAAACTATATAATTTAGCTATTTATTTTACCACATCTGTTGGAGATGCTCTAAGTGGGGTAGAGTAGAGGCCTAGCAATGACGAAGCAAATTGGCCCTGGGGCCCAAGGGAGATTGGGAGAAGGTAGCCACTGGCTTGGCTAGTCCAGTGAGCTCCCGCTCGGCTGCATGGGGCTCTGGCAGGGCGAACGCTTGCCTGCACCTCCGGCGCTTTGACAATGGTTAAGCTAGTTTTTTAAAGCAGTGGTTACGATGTATTTTTTATAATGGTAAAGCTGTATACTTTTTAAGCAGAATAGATTCATAGCTATTATTGACAATGACAATTAGATTCTACTAAGGGCCCGTTGGATCCTTAGAATTGAATTTATTCTAATAATTATAATTTAGACATAAATTAATTAAGCTAATATAGTTCTATATAGAATATATTTGTATATTATTATTGTTAGCCATACAAGAGAGATACTTATGTGTTACATTTCTACTATAAGAAAACGAATTGAAGAGCGTGCCATAAGTTGGAGATTAGAAAACATAGCACGGTGATCTACAGATTCAATTTCCATCTCATATGTGAACTTTAGAAAGTCGTGGAATATCAAAATTCCAAGTCAAATAGCCTAATCCATTAAATAGATTCCAATTCCTTTAAAATGAAAGGATCCAAATAGCCCCTAAATAAAATTGCCAGATGTTTTAAGAATTTATAGGATTTATTTTTTTCTAGCGCATTTATCGTGGAGAATTAGTAATACTAAAATTAAAATTCTAGTCTTCTATATTGTTGCATTGATGACAGCTGACTTATTACAATAGGTTGACAGATATTGTCCTAACGGAGCTCTCTGCAATCCACTTGCTCGGTAATCTTCAATTCGAGTCGCATTTGCACAGCTGTAAATTTTGGCGTGCTTAAGCCAGACACATCTCCTGTGCCTCAAAATTCCACAAGCTATTCAGAAACAGCAACCGTTCTATTCTATTTCCACACTAAGGTACAGAAAATTGTCCAAGACACCAAGTCAAGATCTTCAACCTCATTCATCCGTTACGTTGCAATCGTTGAAGTAACCTAACTTCAAACATGGCCAGAAGTTCCTTGACTTTGAAGCACAATTGATTTGACAGACCATTAGCTAAGATACGTCAACATCTTTTGGATATTTTAGAACTTTTCTTTTACTTTATTATCTGTATTCTATATATATGTATAATATCCTCTGCTCTTAATATACAGAACTAAAAGATGGCGTTTCCTTGCATTCCTATCCTTCTACTGGCTGCCTTATTACCAGCGGAACCTGCAGCAGGTTCCGCGTCGGGCCATAGCTATGCCAGTGACTCTGCTGCTCTGCTTGCTTTCAAAGCGCAGGTAGCAGATCCACAGGGCATGGCATGTCACATACAGTGGAGGCAATGCTGACTAGACATCAACAAGGACTCCTACGACTTCAACAGCCTCGGGCATGGCCTGCGTGACGCACCAGTGATCAAGTACCAATTGCCATTCCTGACACTGTGCTGCTACCGGGATAGAGTACTAGATCTTCCTTCTAAGGCTCCACGTGTAGCTCTCTCATGTATTCCTGGCTCCCTCCTTACAGCTATAAAAGGGGGCAGCCAGGGCCATTTCTGGAGGCCGACTCCGATGCGCACACACCCTCCCGCGCAGAGGCACCCACAAAAACATCACCCTGTAACACCCATACTCCCGGGCCGCCTGAGAGCAACGTCTCAAGTAGCCCGCATCACTCCACGCCGAGACCTGGGACTAGCTCCCTCTCTCACCCAGCTTGTAACCCCCTACTACAAGCACTTCGGTGCAAGGAATACAAGATCGATCTCTCAGACTTGACGTAGGGCATCGATTGCCTGAACCAGTATAAACCTTGTGTCTCTTTGCATCACCATCCGGAATTAGGGGCACGCAGTTCAAATTCACTGGTTGGTTGAGGACCCCCCCGGTCCAAAACACCGACACATAGCATCAGGTGCTACTCCATAAGCTAACATCCGGAATGCCGCCACCACCTTCTGTAAACAAGATAGTCCTAGGGTTCCGGCTGCATTCCTCTTCTGCACAAAATAGTCATCATACTTCTCAACGGCATTCATTATGCGGACAAACACGTGACGCCGCATTTGAAACCTATGACATCAGATTAAAAAAAATTATTCAGACCTCAATGCATACACTAAACATAAGTCAATAAAATTTGAGAGAATTAACCTGCGCCTAAAATAACTTGGTCCATACGTAGGATTATCTGAGAAATAATCTTCATACAATCTGCAGTGTCCCGACTGCCTATCACGATTCACAACACGATGTCCCTCTATGGATCCACGATGGCATGCTGGATTGACAATGTCTGATAGTACTATATGCTATGCTGCAGTATATACCTCATCGTCATCATCCGACGATGACGACGAAGAATCCATCAGCTCGTTAACTACATCTTCAAATTCCATTATGAACCTTTGATTAGGAGGGTCCTAGGAATATGCTTGAACACCTAACCAGGATTAAAGAAAGAAGATGTGTGTCGATCTACTGATTTGATAACGTGACCTAAAGAAAAATCATATCAAGGATACACGATGACCTACCGAACACGTGACGAGGTAGCAGCAGCCCGTCGCCACCAGGATCAGCGTCTTGTGCTGGTGACGACGCTGCAGCGATGTCGCGCCAGAGCCAGAGCCCGTAACGCGACGATCTTCTATTGACACGAAGGAGCACAGCCGCCGCCAGGACGTTGCTGCGGACGACTCCAAAGGAATAGATCGTAGAAAAATTCAATTGGTAGGTGGAATAGGTCCATGGTAGTTGGTGACGTGGCAATTTTTTAATATACAAGATGAGAAATAGCAAGTCTATTAGAAAACTCTTCTTTTTTTTTAGGACTTCTATATTTTACAAAAGAGCTAAACTATGTAATTTAGCTATTTATTTTACCACATCTGTTGGAGATGCTCTAAGTGGGGTAGAGTAGAGGCCTAGCAATGACGAAGCAAATTGGCCCTGGGGCCCAAGGGAGATTGGGAGAAGGTAGCCACTGGCTTGGCTAGTCCAGTGAGCTCCCGCTCGGCTGCATGGGGCTCTGGCAGGGCGAACGCTTGCCTGCACCTTCGGCGCTTTGACAATGGTTAAGCTAGTTTTTTAAAGCAGTGGTTACGATGTATTTTTTATAATGGTAAAGCTGTATACTTTTTAAGCAGAATAGATTCATAGCTATTATTGACAATGACAATTAGATTCTACTAAGGGGCCGTTGGATCCTTAGAATTGAATTTATTCTAATAATTATAATTTAGACATAAATTAATTAAGCTAATATAGTTCTATATAGAATATATTTGTATATTATTATTGTTAGCCATACAAGAGAGATACTTATGTGTTACATTTCTACTATAAGAAAACGAGTTGAAGAGCGTGCCATAAGTTGGAGATTAGAAAACATAGCACGGTGATCTACAGATTCAATTTCCATCTCATATGTGAACTTTAGAAAGTCGTGGAATATCAAAATTCCAAGTCAAATAGCCTAATCCATTAAATAGATTCCAATTCCTCTAAAATGAAAGGATCCAAATAGCCCCTAAATAAAATTGCCAGATGTTTTAAGAATTTATAGGATTTATTTTTTTCTAGCGCATTTATCGTGGAGAATTAGTAATACTAAAATTAAAATTCTAGTCTTCTATATTGTTGCATTGATGACAGCTGACTTATTACAATAGGTTGACAGATATTGTCCTAACGGAGCTCTCTGCAATCCACTTGCTCGGTAATCTTCAATTCGAGTCGCATTTGCACAGCTGTAAATTTTGGCGTGCTTAAGCCAGACACATCTCCTGTGCCTCAAAATTCCACAAGCTATTCAGAAACAGCAACCGTTCTATTCTATTTCCACACTAAGGTACAGAAAATTGTCCAAGACACCAAGTCAAGATCTTCAACCTCATTCATCCGTTACGTTGCAATCGTTGAAGTAACCTAACTTCAAACATGGCCAGAAGTTCCTTGACTTTGAAGCACAATTGATTTGACAGACCATTAGCTAAGATACGTCAACATCTTTTGGATATTTTAGAACTTTTCTTTTACTTTATTATCTGTATTCTATATATATGTATAATATCCTCTGCTCTTAATATACAGAACTAAAAGATGGCGTTTCCTTGCATTCCTATCCTTCTACTGGCTGCCTTATTACCAGCGGAACCTGCAGCAGGTTCCGCGTCGGGCCATAGCTATGCCAGTGACTCTGCTGCTCTGCTTGCTTTCAAAGCGCAGGTAGCAGATCCTCTCGGTATCCTTGGCAGCAATTGGACTTCGGACTCCTCGTTCTGCCACTGGATTGGTGTCTCATGCAGTCGGCGTCGGCAGCGTGTCGCTGCCTTGGCACTGCCCAACCTTCCCCTTCAAGGAGAGATTTCTCCTCATCTTGGTAATCTCTCTTTTGTTTCTGTCCTTAACCTTACAAACACAAGCCTCATCGGTTCCATCCCAGGTGATCTCGGTAGATTGCAACGTCTAAAAGTTCTTTCTCTTGGCCATAATAGCCTTTCAAGCACTGTGCCGTCTACTATAGGAAATCTCACTGGACTCGAAGTTCTTAGTTTAAGGTACAACAAGCTTTCTGGGCATATCCCACCAGAGCTGGGAAATTTGTCTAATCTTAGGCTGATAGATTTGCTGCACAATCTGTTAACTGGTCCAGTGCCAAAGAACATGTTTAACAACACTACCCGCTTAATTTACATAAACTTTGGGAACAACAGTCTATCAGGACCGATACCCAGTGTTATTGGCTCATTGCGCATGCTTGAATACCTTGTATTGAGCCGAAACCAGTTATCAGGACCAGTAGCACCATCCATCTTCAACATGTCCAGAATACAAGATTTAGATCTTGGTGGCAACAATCTTACTGGATCAATTCCTAGCAATAAAAGCTTTAGTCTCCCCCTGTTGCGATTCCTGTCCCTCTATGACAATAATTTCACTGGTCCAATCCCATATGGACTCATAACATCCCCCTACCTCCAACAACTTTATCTCTCTTATAATTCCTTTGTAGATGTTGTGCCACCATGGTTGGCCAAGTTGCCAAACCTTGCCATTCTTTCATTGGCTTCTAATCCTCTTAGTGGGACGATTCCACCTGTGCTCTGCAACCTTACCACACTGATCGAAATGGAATTGGCATATTGTAATCTAACTGGAGAGATTCCATCAGAGTTGGGGGAAATGAAAGAGCTCTCAAGGATACATCTATCAAGAAATCAATTGACTGGTTTTATCCCTGCTTCAGTTGGCAACTTATCAAAATTATCTTTTTTAGTATTCCATGATAATCTATTAAGCGGAACAGTACCGTTAACAATTGGCAACATCGGATCTCTTAACATTCTCAGTCTTGGATGGAACCTCCTTGAAGGTGAGCTTGACTTTTTCACCACTCTTTCTAACTGTAAACAACTCCAGTTCATTGACATATCTAATTGTTATTTCACTAGCAATCTTCCATACTACATCGGTAACCTCTCTATACAACTAACGATTCTCATAGCATATGAAAACAAGTTAACAGGAAGCCTTCCTGCTACTATATCCAATCTTAGTGCTCTCAACTCCATATATCTTTCACATAACCAGCTTAGTGGGATAATCCCAGAATCAATTACAACACTGGGGAATCTCCAGTTCCTTGACCTTGGCATTAACAAGATCACTGGACCAATCCCAACACAAATTGCAATGCTAGGGAACCTAGAACGATTTTTTCTTGACCAAAATAAGCTTTCTGGTTCTATTCCAGACGGCATTGGCAACCTTAGCGGGTTAGAGTACTTTTATGTGTCTAGTAACCAATTATCTTCAACAATACCACCAATCATATTCCAATTCAACCAACTTATCGAACTTAACCTATCCCACAACTACTTAACTGGTGTGTTGCCATCTGATATTAGCAATTTGGTAGACATTGACTTAATGGATATCTCTTCTAATCACTTGTTTGCTAGCCTTCCCAATTCATCAGGACCTCTTCAAATGACCTACTTGAATCTGTCATATAACATGTTCAATGGCTCAATTCCTGACTCTTTTAAGATGCTATCAAGTATAGTCACACTTGACCTGTCCTGGAACCATTTGTCTGGTGACATTCCAAGGTACTTAGCAAATCTTACCTACCTCAAAAACCTTAACCTCTCATACAATAATCTGCAAGGTCAGATACCAGAGGGTGGTGTTTTCACAAACATTACTCTGCAGTCTTTGATGGGCAACTCTGGGCTGTGTGGTGATTCTCGTTTAGGATTTTCACCTTGTCCAGGAAATTCTTACTCAGCTCATTCACACATCCTTAAGTTCATACTCCCTGCAACTGCAACTGCAACTGTGGCACTATGTCTTATAGCTATTTGCTTATACCTGATGATCACAAAGAAAAAATCAAAGCAGAGGGAGGTAATGGGTTCTGCCAGGATGGTTGATGCTATTGGCCATGATATAATCTCCTACCATGATATTGTGCGAGCTACTGGTAATTTCAGTGAGGAAAATTTGGTGGGATCTGGAAGCTTTGGTAAAGTTTACATGGCCCAACTGGGTGACAATTTGGCTGTTGCAATAAAAGTTCTGAATATGCAGCTTCAGCAGGCTGTGAGGAGTTTCGATGCTGAATGCCAAGTATTGCGCATGGCTCGGCACCGCAACCTGATAAGAATTATTAACACCTGTTCCAACCTAGACTTTAGAGCACTGGTACTTGAGTACATGCCTAATGGTAGCTTGCAGGCACACCTGCACAGTGAAGGCACGCCACACCTTGGGTTCCTTAAGAGATTAGACATCATGCTAGATGTGTCGATGGCAATGGAGTATCTGCACCATGAGCACTATGAGGTAGTCCTACACTGTGACTTGAAGCCTAGCAATGTGCTATTTGACGAAGAAATGACAGCACATGTTGCAGACTTTGGTATTGCAAAACTGCTCCTAGGTGAGGAGAGCTCCATGATTTCAGCAAGCATGCCTGGAACAATAGGATACATGGCACCAGGTATCCCACTAATTTCACTTGCACAGTTACACTGTTAATTATTATTGATAATGTGTAATGATGCTGTTGTGGCTAACCTACGGTGATACTATTGCTGGTCACCAGAATATGGCTCCATGGGTAAAGCCTCAAGGAAGAGTGATGTATTCAGCTTCGGTATCATGTTACTGGAAGTCTTCACCGGAAAGATGCCAACTGATTCAATGTTCGCTGGAGAACGAAGCCTTCGGGAGTGGGTTCATCGAGCATTTCCATCGAGGCTTGTTGAGCTCCTGGACGCTGAACTTGTACAAGATATTGAAGAAAATTGTGGCTTTATCCGTAACCATGGTAACAATCCCTCAGAGTCTCCTAGCAGTCTAATTGACCTTGTCCCAATATTCGAGTTGGGTCTGCTGTGCTCAAGAGATGCACCTGATGAAAGGTTGACAATGAAGGATGTGGTTGTGAAGTTGAAGAGAAGAAGGACTATGTTGATTCTGCGGGAGGAGGTAATGCTGAATGATCAACAAAATCTTGGACCATGAATCATTTATCGGGAGCTGTCATGCATCTTCTAAGCTATTATCAGGAGTAAGAGTAACTATGGTTTTTTCTTCATTACCTCAAGGGGTTGAAGGTTCTTTGTCTGGCAGCAAATGAAATTATGTTCTCATTTGTGAATGAACTCTGTCGTCAGTTTTGATCTCTGTTGATGCACTGGCGCAGTAAAGTGTTATTACTAGTGAACTGTCACTGTTGATGCAACAGAAATGTAAAAACAATTTACTGGTTTGGCATATTTTGTCCTCTTGGTTGATAAATTTAGGGTATATGTACTCCTCACCGTAGCTCTTTTGTTTGCATTCTTATATGTGCTTTGCTATATTTTATAGGAGGTAATAACTCAAATAATTATAGTGATTGATTTTTAGAATTTATAAGAATAGTTGTTAACATAAAGATAGGTCACACAGCACAAGGAGCTAGAATACTCAGGTCGCAAACTAACCAAAGAATGAAATGGATAAACAATAGCTTTTGCGGTGAAGAGTGGCAAGGTTTACAAGCAAACCAACAAAGGATGACTGTTGTGATTACGTGATGTGGAACAACTAGTTTTGGGTAAATTAGCAAAGGAGCCGTTGAAGTTCTCGTTTGGGAGGGATCCCGTCTGGGCAAGGACGTTTGCCGGGTTGCCCTATGTCGGTTAGTAAGCCTAGGTTGTCATCTTTGGTCATCGGAATCAAGTGATGAACAACAACATGAAGGTTAGAAGATATTAGGACAAAACAAAGGTAGAAATTAGATTGTTTTTTTCGATTATGTGTTGGCCTCCTCAATTGGCCATGATCCCTTTATATTTATAAGGAGGGGTGGTCTTATCCCACGAGGAGTCGAGATCCCTTCAAAAAGCATCAAAATACAACGCAATCTCATACTGGCCGGCAAAACCGGCTTAACTGGTTTGTGAGGGTGAAATATTCCTAAGCGCATAATTTCTTCATCCGAGCACCAAATTGGATGTTCTATATATGTTTTTCGATCATCTTGATGAGAGGAACACAGGGTGCAGTTCATTTTCACAAATTAGAGATGTTTACAGAACCGACTTTGCCGATTTGGGAAACAGGCTAAACTTATGCATTTTTACAAGTTACCAAAAGAAGCTTAGCCGGTTGAGGAAATTAGCTAAGTCAGTTTCGGCTATACATCTTGGGATTAGCCCCTTCTGACAATTTTGGTTGTCAACATATACCCCCTGTTTTTACTAAAGCTTGTGTACTAAATAAACACGTTATGAACCAAAATTGACTCATCATGGTGATTATCTTGTCGTAGAGTTTGTCATCCGACTAGTAGATTAGCAATCTGTGCACATGAATCAGAAGGATATAACACACGAGACACAAATGTATACTGACTTCGGTATGAGGTACCCAACGTTCAATGCAGAATGCTCCTTGTATATCATATGCTCGGGGTTTACAAGAATGTTGATGTGTTAGTCTAGGGTTCCTAGCAATGAATGCTGAAGCTATCAATCTATAATTTCCTAGTTTGTTACAAGGATATTCTATCAGATCAACGTAAATTACTTGGCTTCCATGGCTATCTAGTTGATATCTTCCTCTCCAACTAGTTGATGCACCCTATTCGGCTTGGCCTCTTCCTTAGTAGGCTCAGACCACCCTGTAGGGCTTTATCTCCCGGTGGCGAGGGTACCTAGGGCCCAATATACCGACACATCTCAAGTGTATTAGCTATGCCTTTGCTTCTAGGGCATATAACTCCATTGGGCTCAAAAATCAATTTTGCTTCAAGGAAAAAAATTCTGCTTTCTACCATCACTGATATCTTGTTTTTGTTGCTATGAACTTATTGAAGGACCAAGCAAGTCGATCCAAAGGGGGAGTGAATGGGAGGCAAACAAAATTCATCTAAAATGACTGTTGTCCCAAACAACCCTCCAAAACACCAAATCTCACACAAGTGGTGCCCTCGAGCCAATTGGTGGCTGGATGTTCTTGGTGATGACTAGATGTTGGGGGACGCCCTTGGAACACTGCCCCATCCTTACCCTCATCCGAGAACCGAGCCCTCAACCTGTTCCCCCCCCCCACAACAGCCTAGGAGGTGGCCCTTGTGGCGCCACCCGTCGTGGCCTGGACTCTGCCCCCGGCGGAACCCTTGCTAACTTGCTCAACCATGGATGCCATGGGCGAGGACGCCTCGCTAACTCCCTGAGCGAAGGTAAACATAAACCTATGTCTTTGCAGGTTGAACATCACCCGGGAGGCCATTCGGGGAAAGGGCGGCTGCTGCGGAGCCAGCTTCGTCGCCATGAGACGGATGATGAAAAGCAGTGGTCCCCGGGAACGGAACCCCCGATGGCGTCAAGAGAGTAGTTGGGGGGAGCACGGGGAATGTCCGTTGTGCCCTCGTGTCCTCATAGGGAGGTGCCTGGACGTACCGGCAAAGGCAAGGTGTAATTTCACCAAGCCCCCGGGTATGTCCTATAAATACCTAGTGGTTGGCACTGTAGTGGATGATGAATTAATGGCAATTTACTCCAGAATTTATTACTGCCCCCATTTTACTCCAGATCATGCTCATTGATCAGGTAAGATAATTACATGATCCTATTGGTACGAGTAAATCAGTACATATCAGGTGCATAGTGTTACTGAGAGGTTAAGAAAAACTGAGACGCATGCTGAGGTCTAAGCAAAATATTGCAAACCGTAGTAATCTGAAATCTAGTATCAGTAGCAACTAGGTATAACCATGCAATCATCTTACATTTTCTGGTCAAACATTGGTTCACATGTTCACATAGTTGTCCCCTCTTAAGGAAACAATATTTAAATTCACGAGTTGATTCAAATGACTGCGAATGTGAAGATCAAGCTATGGATGGAAGAAGGGCGACTACTCGACCTAGTAGATCGCAATCTAGGTGGCGTCTACAACCTTGAAGAGCTGGAGAAGGTTACCCAGATAGCACTTCTCTGCACCCACATGGAACCTAATCAACGCCCTACAATGTCAGAGGTCGTGCAGATGCCGGAAGGAGAGATTGTCCCAGCAGAGCTGTGGGAGGAATGGCAGCTGGCTGAGCTCAAACGACGACAACAGTATGAGATAAGGCAACAGGGCAAACTATTCAAATACAGTGAAGAGTCTGAGTCTCCAAACATCCAGGAAGCCATTGAGCTCTCAACTGGCAGATGAGCTGTCATAAGAAAGTGACATGATTGTCACTTGTTCCTTAAGTAGAAAGTCCACAAGGAAACTTCAGGAGTACGCACTACAAATGTTGACTATTAGGAACAGTCTATAAGGTCCTTGTAGAAGGTAGAGAATCACCACTCACCCCAATGTGGGTGGGGAGCCTTTCATATATATAGCCAATAGGCATACATGGAAGTTACATACATGGGAAGCTATTTCCTGTACAAGGAAACTATCCTAGGCTATACATGGCAGCTAGCCTATCTAGGGAAACACCAATCAATCGCTAATTGATGTAGATACATACATATCCTAATACCCGCCCGCAGTCGTAGCGGAAGCATCACGGACGCATAGACTGGTCCGAAAATCAGTGAAGAGCTGGACGGGCAGACCCTTGGTCATGATATCTGCGAACTGATGCGCAGATGGGACATGGAGAACACGGAACTGTCCCAGAGCGACCTTTTCGCGGACGAAGTGGATGTCGATCTCGATGTGCTTCGTGCAGCGGTGGTGGACGGGGTTGGCAGCCATGTAGACGGCGCTCACATTGTCACAGTAGACAACCGTCGCAAGCGGGATGGAGATGTGGAGCTCCTGTAAAAGCTGACGCAGCCAGCAGCACTCGGCAACAACATGGGCCACTGCTCGGTACTCTGCTTCGGCACTGGAGCGAGACACGGTCGTCTGACGCTTGGAAGACCAGGACACCAGGTTGTCACCGAGGTAGATGCAGAAGCTAGAGGTAGAACGGCGCGTGTCTGGGCAGCCAGCCCAGTCGGCGTCGGAGTAGGCTGTGAGCTGGTCAACGGCACCGGAGCCCAAGTGCAGACCGGCGGACAGAGACCCCTTGACATATCGCAGGATGCGCTTGATCAGCGCAAGATGCGGCTCGCGGGGGTCGTGCATGAAGAGGCAGACCTGCTGGACAGCATAAGCCAGGTCCGGCCTTGTCAGAGTGAGGTACTGGAGCGCACCAGCAAGGCTCCTGTACTCCGAGGGATTGGCAACTGGGGCGCCCTCTGAGGCGGACAGCTTGGTCCGGGCATCCACAGGAGTAGCTGTCGGATGGCATTCAGACATGCCAGCACGCTGGAGGAGATCAGCAGCGTACTGCCGCTGGGAGAGGAACAGCCCGCTGCTGTCCCGCGTCACCGAGATGCCGAGGAAGTGGTGTAGGTCGCCGAGGTCCGTCATGGCGAACTCCGAGTGAAGGCGTGAAGTGACATGCTGGAGAAGTGCCGGTGACGACGCGGTGACGATGATGTCATCAACGTAGAGGAGGAGGTAGGCCATGTTGTCGCCAGCCTTGTAGACGAACAGGGAGGCGTCCGACTTGGAGGTGGTGAAGCCGATGCTGCAGATGAAGTTGGAGAAGCGCTGGTTCCAAGCACGCGGCGCCTGCTTAAGTCCATACAAGGACTTCTGCAGCAAACAGACAGAGTTAGGAGCAGCGGGGTTGACGAAGCCTTTCGGCTGCTCGCAGTAGACCGTCTCCTCGAGGTTGCCGTGGAGGAAGGCATTCTTCACGTCGAGCTGGCGTATGGGCCAATCTCGCGACATAGAGATGCTGAGGACGGTGCGGATCGTGGCCGGCTTGACGACGGGGCTGAATGTCTCGTCGTAGTCAACACCGGCTTCCTGGGAGAACCCGTGGACGAGCCGTCGGAGTGGAGCTTGTGCTTGAACAGCCACTTGCCAGTGACGATGTTCACACCAGGCGGCCGAGGTACGAGGCGCCAAGTGCCGTTGTCGAGTAGCGCCTTGTACTCTTCCGTTGGCGAGTGCATAAAAAATCCATGTGTGGCTTTGGGCCACATGGACTTGTCTGGAATGGATGGGATCACACCTCCATATGCAGCTCTGAACTTCTCAACTGAGTAGCAGTCATCTACATAGTCCTCTAGCTTTGCTCCTGGAATTGAGGTGATGTAGGCAATAGCATGCCTACAAGGTACTCTAGTCCCTTGCCACACTCTACATACACATGTCCTCTGTCTTAAGTTCACCACAAACCTGAATGCATTGTCACTGCTCCCCTTGGCACATACTTCTGCAATTCCATCACTTTCAGTAATGACATCAATGTCTAAGTTGTAGCTATCCTCCCTCAACTTCTTAACAATGTGAGGTAGGATCTTCCCTTCAAACTTGTTTGCAACTTTTTTCCTCATATTCCATTTAATCAACAACTTCTGCCTAAAAGTATCCAGCAAGTCATCAAGGTGCTTGCCTTTGTCTTTCTTTATCCACTTGTTGAAGGACTCTGCCAAATTGTTTGTTACATAGTCAACCTTGCTGCCAAATAGGTACTGGCTCCTAGTCCACAACTTCTTGTGAGTCTGTAACAGATACTTCATAGCCTCTGGTTTGGCTTTAGCCATTGCATTATAATGGATGTCAAACCAGTACTCAGACCAAGAATAAGAAGCTGCCCAAAGATGATCATCAAAAATTTTGCCATTGTATCTCTTCTTAAAATTCTGTACAAGGTGGTACATGCACTCTCTATATTATGCTTCTGGAAAAACCTCACTGACCCCATGCATCACTGCCTATCCACAGTCTGTGCTTATGCAGAGACCATCTGGGGTGCCTATTGCTTCTTTCAGTCTCTCCATAAACCACACCCAGTTCTCATTGGTTTCTGAATCTATGACACCTACAGCAACCGGATACATCCAGTTGTGCCCATCAACTGCACATGCTATGCACAACTGGCCCCTGAACCTACCATACAAGAAAGTGCTATCTATTGCCAAATAGGGCCTACAACCACTAAGGAATCCATCAACACAAGCCTTCATTGAAAAAAAGCCTGTTGAACCTGAGCTTGTTGTTTATTATGTGGTTATCAATCACAACCATTGACCCAGGACTCTCACTCTCTATCTGTGCCTTGAATCTGTACAGGTTGTCAAAACTCTTGTCCCATGGCCCATAAAGCTTGTCCATAGCAAGGTTCTTACCATAGTACACTCTCATGTAGGGCATCTCCACTTTGAAATGATCCTTGAGTTTCTTAATCAACTCAGTAGTACCCAAAGTCCCATCTTCTTTTAGCCAGTCAATAACTCTCTCACAAACCCAATACTTGGTGCAGCCTACAGGAACACCAGTCCTCTTCTGGCTCTGACATTCATGGATAGATGGATTCTTCTTAACCTGCCAATGAAAACAACATGCAAACATCAATGAAAACACCAAGTTTGAATATATAACAATGGAAGCACCAATTAGAACTTAGAAGAGGAAATCACCTGAATTGTTTTGCCATCCCTCATGGTTGATGCATGGATTCTCCAAGGGCAACCTTCATTCCTCCAGAGGCAGTACACTCGGTACCTTCCTGTATCACTCTTCTGAATGAAATATCGATTCTCTTTTATTGCAGCATGAGTAGCTAAAGCCATCTTAAATTCAAACATGTCTGAATACATGCTTCCAACACACATGGGGGGTTCTTTTTGTCATACTCAAGAGGTGCCATGTAGTCAGGCTCATGGTCCTTAACCATTTCATCTGCCTCATCAAGGTCCATTTCAGGATCAAACTCATCATTAGACCCTGAACTAGCATCACTCTCAGTTTCAGATTCAGCTGGCTTTGGACTATCACTCTCAGTTTCAGATTCAGCTGGCTTTGGACTTGGACATCTTTCAGTGGTGGCAGTTTGGATCTGATCTTCTGGAGGTGTTGGTTGCTGTGGCTTTGGAGGTGGTGGAAGGTCAAGGTACAAACCTTCATCATCAACACCCATATGCTCATTCTCTGGGTTTGGGTTTGCCAGAATGTCATCATTTGCACATGCTGTGCTCTGTGTCTGGGTTGATTCTGCAATGCTAGGAGGTGCATTGGAAGGACAGGCAATGGAAGGAGTGGCAATGGAAGGAGTGCCCATTGAAGGAGTGATGGGTGGTTCAATAGATTGCTCAGTAATTGGATCCCAAGAAGGAATGACAGGAGGCACAGTGTTGGGTTTATAGTAGGCTAAACTCATTCAACAACACTTGGAAGCTTTATTTTTGGCAAACATTTCAACTAAGTCATGGTCATTGGTGAGGGGGATGTTCATCTTTGTGTCATGGCACCAGTAAAACACACTGTAAGTATCCCCATAGCGCCCAGGATACTTATCCACAATACCTTCAACCACATTTCTGCAGTTTGCACGATCAGCATCTACAACTTCACTCACGCCATACCACTTCCCCCCACGCATATTTTTAGCAATAATCCGAAACTCTAGATTGTAGCTACTAATTGGGTCCATCCTACAGATGAACAACAACAATCACAAAGGGGGAAACAAACTAGCAAGAGCAAGCAACAACAATCCTAGCTCTCCACAATCACCACGAACAAGCAAGCGAAGGAGAAGAGGAACTCACCCGTCTCGAAACCATGAAGGGCGCTCGGGCGCCGCCATGTTCGCCGCCAATCTGGGCTGCCCACGGTACCTCCCTTGCTCCACTATCCCATGCCCCGCCGTAACCAGGGATGGGATTCTTGTCTCCCCTCAGCCGCCGCAACCCGCTGACGCTCAGTCGCCCGACGCCACCGCCCACAATCGCTGCTAGGGTTTGGGTTTCGGTGATGGGATAGAGGAGGGAGCGGAGGAGTCGAGCGGAAGGAGCGGAGGAGTCGAGCCAGATGAGGAGAGTGAGAGCGGTCAATATCGGTCAACACGGCCTCCACCTCTAATTCCAACGGCAAGGGGCAACTGAGGTCATTTGCCACAGCGGACCCCACTCGTCAGGACAGCCAAACGGTGCAAATCAAACAGAAGGCGGACAGAATGGCGTGAGAGAGAAAAGTTTTTCGAGCTTGGACACTGACGATAGATCGAACTTTTTAGGAACATAGACAATTAGACCATCTTTTTTAATGGCACACAAGTAAAAGACTCAAGATCCAAAGCTTACCTCTTGCAGAAACGAATGAAGTCCCTCGGCTGTTGCAAAACGCCAAAAATTAGGGTGCAAAAGGCAGCAGCA